ATATATCTAATAATAAGCCGAAGAATAAGAAAAAATAAGCTATGGTAAAAGCACTGCTGGCTACCTTTGGTATTTTATATCATAGCATTTTTTTAATTACTTTCATATGTTGCAGTCTGAAAAATATTAATAAAATATTCAGTGAGCTTACTAATACATCGTTGAAAAAAAAGGCAGATTTTTTATAAGTTCAGAAACCTGAAGAAGAAGGTGGTACTAAGAATTGTGGTTAATACCACAATTCTTGTGTGGTTTGGTTTGGTTTGGTTTTCGAAATGCCAGTATTGGAGTCTCCCGTTTCAAGAAAAAATGCTTTGGTATAAAATACCAAAAGGTATTATAATATTTTAGACTTCTAAAAGATTATAAATATAACATTAAGGAATAAAGCCAAGTTCGAGTTAAGCGCATCAATTATGAGCCCGTCTGGCTAAGTGAGAGATAAGTTATACTTAAGTTTAAGTTAAGTAAAGCCGATACGTCAGATGATAGCTAAACTTTGAGACATAAGAGCTTTGACAAACGATGCCTCGATACTTAGAATTTACTTGTTTTGTAGTAATTTAAGTTAATAAAGCCCATGTTGAGTGTTTTATATCGAAAAATATTTTGATACTTGATGAATGAATATTCATTTCGTGGAAATCCTTCAAAGCACTTAATCTACTGGTAATTTTGAAGAGCTCGTACAGCCTTTAAATCTAATAGGTTTCTTAAGTAAACAGATTCTGTCACTTTTAATAATTTTTATTCATGCTTTTATTTATATCACTTTGTGGTATTAGCTAAGTTAATTATAGAAATTATTGAATATTATAATTATCAAAAACAATTTTTGTATGTGCTAACACTAATTGATTATAATATAATTCATGAATTATAAAAGGAAGCTTTTGAGGTTCATGACGCCATATTCAAAGTACTCTGCTACATGATCAAAAATCACACGCACTTTCTGAGGTTTCCAAAACGTATTAAAAAGATAGATTTAAAAGTATCCTTATGTGACCAGTATGCAATGCTCTCGAGTGTATTTACAAGTAAACTTTTTTAAATGTCTTTTAGAAAGTAGTTTAATAGTGTTTCGAGTTTTAATAAACTTTTGCAATCACCAAACAAAATTTAAATTATGCAGCTAATTGACATAATAATAAATAGGCGGACCTCACACACACACACACACACCACAACAGTCACACAACATTAAAAAACATTCCTTCTTAATATATGTCGTCTCACACGCAATGAATAATTTGACATCATCCCCTTCTGTCACACTTGGCTAAGGCCCGTGTGTTATATAGATCTCACACACGGCAATCTAATAAATAAATCTATACACTAAACGTAAAACAGATTTAAAAACGGAATTGATACGAATTGATACACTTATAGGTGTGTAGGCGAATCTACAAAATATAACATTTGCGAGGCAGCAAGTTTAAACATCCTGATATCGTAGCTTTTGAATTTTCCAGCCAATTACGCGCCGGTCTCGCTGGAACCGGTGCAATTGAGATTTTTCCCGCACTTCGCATACCTAGTGTATACACAAGATATTCCTTTGGTAAATATACCTGCAGAGTTACTGCGCGGATAATATTCGCTCTACTATTTTCATACCTGCGAAGTTACTCGTGGTGAATCAAAATCTCGGAATATGCAATTGTCAGAATTATCACCATTAATTTAGTGATTGTCTGTTTAAAAGTTTGTTTATCAGTCCTTGTGGAATCAGAGCGAGGGGAAATCTCCTCGGGCAGTCACTCCACCTTGATTTACGGTGTCCCGGTGTGTCGGAATCGAACCGACTAAAACAACAGATTTTTTTTAAAAAGACAACTCACGCACTAGGAATAAATCCTGTGTCGCGGGGGACTTTACAAACATACATGAAGCGGACACCCAGACTCAGAACAACAATTTGCGGATCACACAGTGTTGTCCCATGTGGGGATCGAACTCACAACACTCAGCGCAGTAGGAAGTGGCTAGCTGACCGCTTAAACAACTACGTCATCCGTGCAGTCAGTGTGCCATAATGTGCCTAAAATAGGACGGGTACTTCAACAGCTTTTATTACGACATCCGAACCCAATAGTGACTGATCTTATCGTATATTAACTGGATTTAATACATGATTTGGAAAATAAATGTTAACAAAATCCTCTGAACAGACAATTTTTAAATCAACGTCAATAAAAAAGGGGATCGTAGCCAATGCAGTAAATGGAGAGGTATTATTTTGCTCTCGATACTCTATGGATAATAAGAAAGAAGATCTGAATTCGAATGATTAATTTTTGTGTACATACATACATGAGAAACATTTTTTTTTGTTATTTGCAAACCAATTTGAATCATTCTTTTTACACGCTTTATATTAGCTTCACTTGTATGTTTCTTTGTAACCGACTCCTTTGGGCGTGATTTTGACTGACTTTAAACGGTCAGAATTCGTTCAAACTTTGTAGATATATCGAGGACCGATGACAATACACTAATTTAAAAAAAAATAGTTTTAAAAACTAAAAAACACGCTTTTTATAGAAAACCAAACAAAAAATAAATTTTAATAAAATTGAAAAAGCGTGGGGTGCTTTTTACTATTGACAACAGGTACCCAATGGTTTTCTATAAAAAGCGTGTTTCTTAGTTTTCTTAAACTATTTTTTTCTTTAATTGAATTGGTTCTACTTATTTTCTTCACTGCTTCATACCGTAGCCGCATATGATAACTCTAGCACCACGCCCGCTCATTAGTCAACACACTCTTTGATTATACTGTGGAGGAACGGGTGTCATGTCCCTCCAACACAAAGGGAGGATCCTCCGACCAGGCGAGGTGATCATGCCTGGCGGGCCGCGGCCCGACGGTTGATGTTGGGAAGTTGTATATATGCTAATCGGCGAGGGAATTCTTTATATCGCGATACAGGATTAGCAATTCTTATTTTAGTAGTTACTCCGTAGTTCGGAGTGTCTTCATTAGATGGCGCTGTAGTATGTTTCTGTTTATTTGTATGTGGTAGTCGCCACAATACTATTACCACAAATTGCAGAAAAGCGAGCGAAAAGATTATAAAATAAAATAAAAAATCTTCACATTAAAATGATTTACAAAAACAATTTACAGTTACTCATAACAATCGAACATTAATTATTCGAATTAAGCCTTCATGGTATTACAGAGGCAAATGTTAAATGAACTGTGGACTTTTAATCCTCCAATCGTATTTACCGGCCGTCGTTTAATCGCCATTGCTACGTTGGATTACAAATTAAAATTACTGGTTGGTCGCGCGCGCTGTGCATAACATTGGCCATTTTTAAGACATCTTATTATATTTTATCCATACTAATATTATAAATAAATGCGAAGGTGTGTCTGTCTGTCTATCTGTTACCTCTTCACGCTTAAATCACTTACCCGATTTAGGTGAAATTTGGTATAGAGATAATTTCAGTTCCGGAAAAGTACATTTAATAGTTTTGATCCCAAAAATCATCCTTTAAGGGGGTGAAAAGGGATTTATATGAGAAATTAATAACCCTTAACCGATTCAAATGAAATTTGATAAGGATATGTCCTTTATTAATAATCATCGCCATATAGATTACCGCAATAACCGATATATACTTGGGCGGAGCCGCGGGCAAAAGCTAGATGTCTATAATAACAGTTTCAAAAAGGTACGTTTGGAAATGTTCGTCAATAAAGCGTTTTTAAACTGCTTATCCTTGTAACAAGAAGGACTATATAATTAATGCAAAACTGCAGTCATATAAATAATGAAGATGATGATTACGTATGTGGTGACTTCAACACACAGTGAAACAAAAACATATTACAACGCCATCTAATGAAGACACGCCGAACTAACGAGTGACTGCTAATCCTGTATCGCGATGTTACTAATTCTTACGACGATTAACATTATACAAATGCCCAACATCAACAGTCAAAGCCTCGGCCCGTAAGGAATGATGCCTCGCCTGGTCCAAGGATCCTCCTTTTGTGTTGGAGATATGACACCCGATCTTCCACACCTATTATATAGCGTGGGAGACCCAAACCGTGGGAATTATACCATAAAAAATGTGTCATATTTAGTGTAAATTTTGTAATTGTTATGTTCTTGTAGGTAATTGCCAGGGACTTTTTTATTACAATTTACGAATCAACTCACGTACATAACTGTCGGAAAACCTCGCTCTAAAATCTTTCGCCACTGACATAACAGGTTTTTCAAAGTAGCTGCATATTGTACAAATCACTAATAATATAAACACAACACTTCCTTTCTGATTTTTTTATTAATATTTGACATTAAAAAGTAGATAATAATAATATAATATTAAAATAACATCAAAAAACAGAATATTACTAAATAGAGGACCCAGCTAGGTCTTATAAAAAACAGCATAACATCTTGAACAGGAAAACTCGTTATGATCATCGATAAACCTAATTTTGATCAGCAGAATACAATACATTCTAAAATATACCGAAATTACTTCGCTAAAGTGTCAATAAAACAGCATTTTAATTGCAAATATGATAATAGTTACCCAATAGTAGATGCAAATATAGTTGCAAATATGATAATAGTTACCCAAAAGTACCATATGAGATATTTTAGTTTGACATTTTAATTTTTAAGCATTTAGGTGCCAAGTTGTCCATTTAATAAGGCATAAGCAAGTATTGAATTTCATCACTTATACATTAAAAATATTAGAAAGTATTAGTTTTGATATATATGTATATATATAGTAGGCCAAAACCTCCTTTCAGAGGAGAGGCCTATGTCCAGCAGTGGACTATCATAGGCTGTTGATGATGTGATGTGATTAGTTTTGAAAATACCATTGCTTAGACATAAATCTATTCATAGGGATTCTTAATTCTAAGTCTAGCAGTTGGCAATTTTTTAATTAATTTAACAATATTTTATTACTGCGTTCATAACATTTTAGCAATAGACTTTTATGTCATCTTAATCATTCACTTCTTCACTGCCTGAAAATTGAAAAAAGGAATTGTTGAATAGTTACACGAGGATTATTATAATATTAACCGCGGTGGAACCAAGTTTTTCTGGAAAAGAAAAAGACTCTTTGCTTAAACTCTCTCACTTAATTTAGACAGACTTACTTAATTTCTATTTATTACTATTAAACATAAAATTAATTAAAAATTAAAGTATTCTTCACCTTTTAATTTGTCGAATCCACTGAGTCTAGCTTCTTGGACATCAAAGCTACCTTTCGAATGTCTCTGTTGTTTGAACTCTTCAGATTCTGTCGAAGCTAGTAGTTTAGTTTCTGACCAGGCTAATAATATAGTATTTTTTTATTGCCCGTTATTTATGACATACAATAGTGCAACCTTCGATTTCCACCTGTATTAGGCGTTAATTCATTGTTTCCATTAGCATCACCAGTGGCATTACCTGTCTCTGATTCTATAGCATGCATATCAGTGTCAATTTCGTCACCGAAGCTCTCCGGAATTATCAACCTTGTTTTGTTTCTTTTATGGCTCTTTGGTTTTTGGGATCCATGTGAATCTTTCATCCCAAGATCATGGTAACCAGAATTCTGTTTTGGTAATTCAACGTTGGCTAAGGAAATGCCGTCTACTATTATCCTTTTCTTGCTATTCACTTCATCTGATATTTGATCGGATACGTTATTTTCGTAGAGATCACAACTTAAAAAATATAGTAATTTGAATATATGTACGTCCTATATAATATGCTAATTGAAAAGTTTGAGTACAACATATTACTTGGCCTATGTCCAGCAGTTGACTATTATAAGCTGTTGATGATGATGATGTGATATCACTTGTATTTATGTTAGCCTCAGAGGGAATGGGTTCAATTCGAACCGAAAATTTAATCAAAGATAAAGAAAAAACATAGGTACTTACCTTTTTATAAAAATAACCAATACAACAGATTGATCAATATCTTTTGGCATATGTTCTACTATTATCTTAGTATTCACAAATTTCACATTTATGCGCTGCAATTCTGAAATAATAATAAGAAGATTAACATTCATATTACAGACATTTACAAAATTATTTAATATAAGTACGTCTTTAAATTACAAAATTAAAGACATTTATAAAATTCACAGAAGTAGCGCAAAGTTGTGTTAATTCTAACATATAAATAATTTATTTTCATTTATTTTTAATAATTTATTATAATTGGTTATGAGCTTGGAATATTGCCTTGGAAGTATTCCTGTAGGATATCGGATATTAAGTACGGATTATATTTATTTATCTATAGATTTAAAATTACTTGGCCTGACGTAAACCGCTGGGGCTGTAAATTTGAAATTGTGGCAGCAGGTGTTTTTTATCTTGTAAGGATTTTTGGAAATTTCCCCCCCAAGGGATAAAATAAGGGATAAACGGTTGTATAGAAGTTCGTCATAGAAAAAGAAAATGAGAAATATTCAAGTGGACGAAGCCTCTGGTTATGGCTAGTTTTTATATAAATTGATACATTGATCTAGTCATTAAACCTGACTTGTAAGAGTTCAATCTACATTGTTCTAGTCATTAAATTAAATAGTACAGTCATTCTACTACCCTGTTAAAGACACGTTGAACAAAATACAAGAATGAAGTAAACCTCTTTTTTATGTCAAGTCAAACGTTTTCTGCTAATTGAAATTTCTAAAGGTTTTAAAAAATATTTCTTACTTGAGTAAATAGCATCTGAAATAAAATCCATTTGGCCAATTTGCAAATCCGTTAATAGATCCAGTTGCTTTTTTCTATTCAAACAAACTTTACATGACGACCATTTTGCCCAGTTTGACCAAATTGACGATATCCAGCTTAATACTGATATCACTGAAAAGGCGAAAATCACGAGAGTGAATTTAAAATACACATATATAATACTCGTATATATATTATTTTTTCAAATAGACAACTCCCGCACTAGGAATAAATCCTGTGTTGCGGGGAACTTTACAAACATACATGAAACGGACACAAAGAACACCCAGACTCAGAACAACAATTTGTGAATCACACAAAGTGTCGTCCCATGTGACGATCGGACCCACAGCACTCAGCGTAGTAGTAAACAGCGTGGCGACCGCTTAAACCACTACGCTATTCGTGCAGTCGACATAGTCATATTACACATCAACACTAGACAAATATAAAAAAAGGTGTGGTTTTCAGTGTGGCGACAGATTAAGAATACGGAGTGTCACCACCCCTATTCGTCCCGTGTGTGTCCAAAGATCTGGATTTTATAAAGTAGTCGCACATCTCACACATAGCCGTCTGATCCCAAAATAGGCAGAGCTTATACTTTGGTAAGCAGACTGCTGATAAACATGCTTGTAAATCTAAATACATACATATTACAGATAAATTATATCCAGACAAAGAACATATGATCATGCTCATCACAAAGTTTTTTGTCCTGGGTTGGAAAGAAACCACGACCTTTTTAGCAGTGAAAATCACAAACCACTAGACCAACAGACTTGTCAAATTCAAATCAGATTCAAGCAAATAAACACCATGCAGTATTCGGGAGATGACGACTAAAAACAAGATATAAATTACCTGGTTCTTCTCGAATTTTTGGCTGTACTGTGAGTGAGAGGCCGTTGACCATGAGTAATGAGTCATTTTCAGAGTTCTTTGTCCACGGAACCTTGACTGATATGTCTTCAATGCGACCTTTCTTTATTATCAGGGGCCAGTTTTGTTTATCTCCCAATTTGTTAAGTTCCTGTAACAATTATACATAAATACCTGTTTCTGATGTCAAAATATCATCAGCTTATTGTCTACACGGTACTTATAACAAAAATTATATTTTTAGAAAATTTGGCTGCTTTTGTGTCTATTTGTTCTCGCTTCTCTCCAAAATGGTTGACTCCTAAACTAGTAGAGGTCAAGTACCTCGAACAGGCCAGTCTCGCAATGGCCCCAATTGTCAAACAAGACCCGTATTGCCGTCCGTTACTGCAAAGCTTTCCAACAGAAAGTTTTGCTTGTAACTGTCTTGAATACAGCGCTTTGCTTCTGTAAGTACAAATGTCATTGGCGCTTACAAGAAACGGTTATTAGAAGATGCAATTTTCTGCAAGCTTTCATACAGAAAGCTTTGCTTGTAACTGTCTTGAATACAGCGCTTTGCTTCTGTAAGTACAAATGTCATTGGCGCTTACAAGAAACGGTTATTAGAAGATACAATTTTCTGCAAGCTTTCATACAGAAAGCTTTGCTTGTAACTGTCTTGAATACAGCGCTTTGCTTCTGTAAGTACAAATGTCATTGGCGCTTACAAGAAACGGTTATTAGAAGATACAATTTTCTGCAAGCTTTCATACAGAAAGCTTTGCTTGTAACTGTCTTAAATACAGCCCTTTGTTTCTGTAAGTACAAATGTCATTGGCGCTTACAAGAAACGGTTATTAAAAGATGCAATTTTCTGCAAGCTTACATACAGAAAGCTTTGCTTGTAACTGTCTTGAATACAGCGCTTTGCTTCTGTAAGTACAAATATCATTGGCGCTTACAAGAAACGGTTATTAGAAGATGCAATTTTCTGCAAGCTTTCATACAGAAAGCTTTGCTTGTAACTGTCTTTAATACAGCCCTTTGCTTCTGTAAGTACAAATGTCACTGGCGCTTACAAGAAACGGTTATTAGAAGATACAATTTTCTGCAAGCTTTCCAACAGAAAGCTTTGCTTGTAACTGTCTTAAATACAGCCCTTTGTTTCTGTAAGTACAAATATCATTGGCGCTTACGAGAAACGGTTATTAGAAGATGCAATTTTCTGCAAGCTTTCCAACAAAACCTTTTCTTGTAACTGTCTTGAATACAGCGCTTTGCTTCTGTAAGTACAAATGTCATTGGCGCTTACAAGAAACGGTTATTAGAAGATACAATTTTCTGCAAGCTTTCCAACAAAACCTTTTCTTGTAACTGTCTTGAATACAGCGCTTTGCTTCTGTAAGTACAAATGTCATTGGCGCTTACAAGAAACGGTTATTAGAAGATACAATTTTCTGCAAGCTTTCCAACAAAACCTTTGCTTGTAACTGTCTTGAATACAGCGCTTTGCTTCTGTAAGTACAAATATCAATGGCGCTTACAAGAAACGGTTATTAGAAGATGCAATTTTCTGCAAGCTTTCCAACAAAACCTTTGCTTGTAACTGTCTTGAATACAGCGCTTTGCTTCTGTAAGTACAAATGTCATTGGCGCTTACAAGAAACGGTTATTAGAAGATACAATTTTCTGCAAGCTTTCCAACAAAACCTTTGCTTGTAACTGTCTTGAATACAGCGCTTTGCTTCTGTAAGTACAAATGTCATTGGCGCTTACAAGAAACGGTTATTAGAAGATACAATTTTCTGCAAGCTTTCGAACAGAAAGCTTTGCTTGTAACTGTCTTGAATACAGCACTTTTCTTCTGTAAGTTATTAGAAGATACAATTTTCTACATTAGCTGCAAGAAATACTAAACATACTACGTGATGAAATATTTCAATACAAAGCTTTGCTACACTAACTTGTACGTTATTGAACATAAACTCACATCACTCTTAAGAGTTACATCACACACTATCCCAGTACCAGTATACAAGTTAACACTGAGCTGATCAAGTGTGATCTTCTCTAAGAAATTGCCGAGATAGTATCCTATTAAACTCCTAATCGACTTCAATTTTATTATTTCGCAATGCGGCGTGAACCATGGCAGACACCAAATCATTTTTAGGTTTATACCGTGGACATTTGTTGACGATATTGATAAGTTTTACTATAATAGATCCATCATTTTTCAATAAATTACTTTTGAAAAATATTATTTGCTTTGTTGTGATTGATTCTGCCAATTATCATGTTTTGACAGATTACGTGAATAAAGGTTGTTACTGACTAGACAGACGTACACATCAACGTTAAATCAACGTTAATCAACGATAATTAACTTATTAACTTGATACACTATTTTGCATCGGCGCGCCGAATGCCCAGAGCATGAAACAGCTTAAAATAATTTATATTTGCTTACAAAAGCTATTAAATTGTCAGATAATTTACGACGTCAAACAATCAAATAATCACTATTAGGACAGACGTATAGTCTAGTAAAGCTAAATACAGTTGCAAGATAACAACGCCATCTAACCAAAACCAGCCGCACTACAGAGGAACTTACCAATCAGATCCTGTAAAGCACAAGCATTACTTGATTAATAGATAAAGTTCATACTAAGTCATCATACTGAGTTACAGGTAGTCCTTCTAGTAAATCCCACAATTCAAACACACACATCAACAGCCTTTAATAGTCCACTGCTGGACATAGGTCTCTCCTTACAAAAGATGTTTTAGCTTACTATACCACACTGGCCAGATGGGTTGGTATAGGGTTTGTGTGGGGTGCTGGGCTAGAAAACCTCCTCGTGGTGCACCCTGGAAACGCTGGCGATGGTACTGTTTCCTCCTTGTCCTCTTGGAGGAGAGGATTATCGCCAGCGGCCAATATTCTAGCAGAAGAGGCAGCCGTTCATCGGCTCTCGGGCAAGGCCTGGTCCAGCAGGGTGGGCGTGTCTGCCGGTTGCCCTGCTGGCTCTTCGCTCTTCGGAGCATGGAGGAGGAAACCTCGGTAAAAAACCTGATGGCGGGGCCCTGTAGGGGCCACAGTTTCTCCGCTGATAGCGGTGGAGAAAGGAGGACGGGCTCGGCGTGTACTCACACTACCACCGAGCAGGCAGGGGGACGTAGTCTCCCTGTCAACCGTCGGCATATCGCAATCCCGAGAAGAGCGCTGTGGTTAAGTCTCGCGGCTCTGATCGGGGGCGAGGGTCTTGGCTTAACCGCCCGGACCGCGAGGAAGATAACCTCTCTAAAAAATTCCCCGAATCCCGTGTTCTGGTGCGTGGCCAGGGGATGCATGGCTGATGGGAAGTTCAGTCGCGAGCGCACTCCAAGCCGAGGTACCTGCGGACCCCTCGGTTGGGTTAAAAACTTACGCTTGCCCGGGTAATGGGGGATCTCTGCCCGGGTGGACCTTTAGTTCTCCCCCACTCGTGGGATTATTATGGAACATGTTAAAAAAATATAGACAAACGATCGGAAAACCAAACTCAACGGAAAAAGGCAAGTCAAACGGATACGGCAACGAAGGCAAGGAGGGAGAAGAAGAACAGTGGAGCGGATGGGTCGTCCACTGAGGGTGAGATGGTGTCAGGAACGCTTATCTCGATGGGGCTCCCAGAGGTCAGTCTGACTCTGGTCTCTGGGAGCCGAAGAGCATCGGATCGGCTGCGTTCCGGATCCGCCGCTTCGTCGGATGGCGCGGAGGCCATGGAGGCGGAACGAAGCGACAGCAGGAAACGCGGACGCTCCAGGGAAGAGGGGACCGACACGTCCGGCGAAATGATGCCACCAAAGGTGGCAAGCAGCCGCCGAGGGAGGGCGCGTAAACCGGCCTCGGCCTCGGTCTCGACCCCGTCAGGCTCCGCGTTCTCAAACGCGGAGTCCTACAGGAGCGTACGAGTGGACGGCGAGGCCGTAGCGGAGGAGGAGATCGCGGATCTCCTGCTCAAGGTTCGGGAGCCGGTGGGGGGAAATGCCCCCCAGGCTCCCGTGTCCGTGCAGGAGAGGGCGAAAGCGGCGGTGGCCGTCATCAACAAGGTGGCCACCAAATCCGTGAACCTTAAGGGCTCGTTTGTGAGGGCCCTTAAGGACTCCTCCTCCGCTTTGTCGGAGGTCGTGGAGGGCCTAGCGGGCGACGTCTCTCACCTGCAGGTGGCCAACGAGAAGCTGACGGAGCGGGTGAACGAGCTGAGCGCTCAGTTCGCCCGCTTCCAGGCGAACCTCCCCGAGCGGGAAGCCCCGTCCGCGTCCCAGCCTGCCCCTACCACCAACTCAGGGGCATTTGACTCCCAACTGCGAGAAATCCTCATCGCAGTTGGGAATATGCTGGACGGACGCCTGGCTGGCCTGGAGGCGAGATTGCCTCCTGCGCCGAGTATGCGCCCCCCGCTCGCGTCGACACAGCGGCCTAAGGCCGCCGCTCCGACCGCGCTCCCCGTAGTGGGAGGCCGCGTCTCCTACGCGGCGGCGGCGTCTGCCCCGACCCCATCGGCTCCCCAAAAGCCGAGGAGGGGGGCCAAGGCACCGGCCCAGGCGCCGGCCAAGGCACCGGCTAAGGCGCAGGCCAAGGCACATCCCCAGGCGCCGGCCAAGACGGGGCCTAAAACGGCGCCGAGGAGCGGAGTGGCATTCCCTCCGCTCCCCACTCCGACACCCCTGCCGGGCCCCTCCGCACCTGCCCCCTCCAACGAGGGTTGGCAGGAGGCGAGGGGCTCCAAGAAGTCCCGAAGGCGGGCCAAAAAGGCTGCCAAAAAAGCAGCCCAGGCCCAGCCTTCGCCACCGGTGGCAACGGCCTCCACAAAGAGGCCGCGGAAGCTGCAGCCGCCCAAAACCGCGGCTGTAGTGGTGACCGTGTCCCCGGAGGCGGCGGACGGCGGGCTGTCCTACGCGGCCGTGTTTAAAAAGGCCCGGGATAGCCTCGCTAGCGACTTTGGAACGGTGGGGGTCAGATGCGCCTCGCCCAGACGGGAGCTCGAGTCCTCGAGTTCCCTGGGGCTGAAGGCGCAAAGACGGCGGACTCCTTCGCCGAGAGGCTGCGGGGAATATTTGCGGCCACTGATGGTGTCAGGGTCGCCAGGCCTACCAAGTGCGCGGAACTGCGCATCTCGGGCCTGGACGACTCAGTGACGGCCGAAGATGTCCGCGCTGTAATCCGGGAGAAGACGGGGTGCAGCGCGGACAACGTCAGGGTCGGCACCATCCGCCCCGGTCCAGGAGGGCTTGGCGCCGTGTGGGTCAGCTGTCCCGTAGCGTCGGCCAAAGTATTGGCCGACGCCGGCAGGCTGCTCATCGGTTTCGTGAGCGCCAGGATCACAGTCCTGGCGGCGAGACCGATGAGGTGTTTTAAATGCCTGGCCACGGGACACACGCGCGTCAAGTGCGACAGTTGTTTTGACTGCGGCGGACTGTGTTTCCGCTGCGGTCAACCGGGGCATAAGGCGGCAGAATGCTCTGCCGCCCCTCACTGCCCAGTGTGTGCGGCGGGCAATAAGCCCGCCAATCATCAGATGGGGCAGAGAGGCTGCAAGCCTCCCCGCAGTTCTCGGCAGACGTCGGGGGTTAGCCAGTCGACCCAGGCTGCCTCCGATATAGTTCGTGCGTCGACGTCGTCGCCCATGGAGGAGGTTGTAGAGACGATCCAGTAATGGATCAAGTCTCCAACCTCCTGGTCCAGACGAACCTGAACCACTGTGCCGCGGCGCAGGATCTCTTCCTGCAAACCATGGCACAGTGGTCGATAGGTGTTGCCGTAGTCGCGGAGCCCTATTCTGTCCCTCCCCGTCCAAACTGGATGGGTGACTGGGACGGCTCCGTGGCAGTCGTCGGTTCCACGACGGCTCATTCCCCGCCCTTGTCGCTAAGAGACAAGGGCACTGGATATGTTGCCGTCGAGTGGGGGGGGATCACCATATATGGTGTCTATTTCTCCCCCAACCGGAGTTTGAACGACTTCGAGGTTTTCCTGACCAGCTTGGAGACCTCGATACGGCGACTAGCGTCTGGGCACGTCCTTGTGCTGGGGGACTTCAACGCAAAGTCCATTGCGTGGGGTTCCCCCAGGGCGGACGCCAGGGGCGAGGCCGTAGAGGAGTGGGCGGCCTCGGTGGGCCTCTGTCTTCTAAACAGAGGCTCCACCAACACGTGCGTGCGACAGCAGGGGGGGTCGATAGTGGACCTCTCGTTCGCTACCCCTGCCCTCGCCGCACGAGTAAGGAACTGGCGTGTCCTGGAAGAGGTTGAGACGCTCTCGGATCACCTGTATATCCGATTTGAGCTCTCCCGGACCCAGGACTCCAGTAGGGGTCACGTGGCGCGGCGTTTATCCCGCTTTCCGCGGTGGGCTGTTGCCAGGCTGAACCGGGACCTACTAGAGGAGGCAGCCATAATTCACTCGTGGCTGTCTCCTCAGGCTCCGACCGAGGAGGTCGACGTGGGGGCTGGCCGCTTTCGCGATGCGATTACGCATGTATGCGATGCGGCCATGCCCCGCGTTCGAGGTCGTCGGCCTCCAAGGAAGGAGGTCTACTGGTGGTCCCAGGAGCTGGCGGACCTCCGTGCGGCCTGTACACGTGCCCGGAGGTCCTACACGCGCAGTCGGCGGCGTCACCGTGGAGACGGTGAGGAGGACCGGCTTCATGAGGAGTACCGACGGGCTCGGAAAACTCTGAAGCTGGCCATTAGCCGCGCCAAAGAGGAAAAGAGACAGGAGATGCTGGAGGGTCTTAATCGTGACCCCTGGGGTCGCCCTTACCGCGCGGTGCGACAAAAGCTCCGCGCGTCGGGCCCCCCCCTTACGGAGACTCTCCAGCCCAGCTTCCTGCGAGAAGTGGTTGAGGGCCTTTTCCCACAACGAGCGGAACACACTCCCCCGTCGATGGCCTCCCTGGCCGGAGACGACGGGGAGCACGGGGAGGACAATGTTCCGCCCGTCCGGGATTCGGAGGTAGGGGCGGCTGTTCTACGGATCCGTTCCAAGAACACCGCCCCTGGGCCAGACGGGGTACCGGCCCGAGTGCTGGCCCTGGCCCTCAACCACATGGCAGACCGCCTCGGGGAGGTGTTCGACGCTAGCTTGGCGTCGGGACGCTTCCCTGAGTGCTGGAAGAG